GATACATTTTGAAACAAATCAGGCACATCTATTTTCCTTATGAAATTTTCGTGGTACACGTCCCTGAAGAGAGGTGGAAAAACAGTTTTTCCTTGGGAGCCTGCTTGATTATTGACTCATGCAGATTCTCTATTAGGAAAGAAGCGATCATCATAAAAGAGAAGTGATTCCTATAGTTCTGGTGTGGGTGCTAGTGATTTATTTAAAAGACAACTGCAGGAACTTCTGGCATCAGAGTCTTGATATGAAGGATGTTACAGGTGATCAGGGTAAGTGTAGAACTGCACGTAGAGAGGAACGTTCATCTGTGAAGAAACAAGATCTGGGAAGAATAGATAAAGCAGGTAGACTTCCAATGAATAAGGCATACTAAGTAGGCCTTTGCTAGTTTCTACCGCCCTTGTTTTCTATCACCAGCAGGGATGATTGCAGATGACTCACAGCAAATCACAGATCCTGCAAATGCTCTCTCTTTTTTGATGTGGTAAAATCAGGAGGATATGTTTCTTCAGTGCCGTGGTATTGAAGAAAATACCTTCAATAGTCTGCTTTTATTTATTTATTTATTTATTTATTTATTTATTTATTTATTTATTTTTGTCAGGAGAAATGTCTCTTTTGGTTTGGTTTTCCTTACCTCTCACTGTATTTTATTTTTGGCCTGATAGTTATTTTAACTATTCAAATAAAAATAATTAGGAACATCGTTAAAATAGAATATAATATGTGTTATGGGACCCATATAGTTCAGATTATAAAATTTATAATTTAGTACATTTTCATTAATGGAATGTTCTGTAACTATTATAATAAGTGTGGGAAGATGTATTAGTCCGTTTCTGTTGCTTATAACAAAATACCCGGAACTGGGTGGTTTATAAAGAAAAATGAAATTTATTGCTTACAGTTTCTGAGGCTGGGAAGTCCGAAGTCCATATGGGGGTGGCAACAGTGACTCAGGGGTCTCACATTGCAAGATAGTGGAAGCAGAGAGAGCAGAAAGAGAGCAGTGAGAGAGACAGACTCTCTTCTTACTTCTTTTAAAGCCCTCAGAATCATGCCCCTGACCACCATTTTTAATCCATGGTCCTGCAATCTAATCACCTCTTCAAGGCTCCACCTTTCAGTTACCATAATAGGATTTCCCATTCTCTCAACAGTCACAGTGGAGACCAAGTTTCTAATACATAAAACCTGGGGGACACAATTCAAGCTTCAGTGAGTTTTGGGGAGACATAATTCAATCCACTACGGAAGAATTCCTTGTTAGCAATTAAAGTATATCATGGAATTTTATGAAGATTTGGCTTTGATCAAGTTGGCCAGATAATAATGCCCTTATGGGGAGGGCTAGCATCTATAGGGTTCTTGATTTTTGTAATTTTTTCCCCATAAATTATGGACTTTCTTATTTGGCTGCAAAAATAGCTTAGAATCTTTATTTGGATTCATAGAAATGACTTTGGTGGAATGATTTACATGTAGTAAATCACAAATATATTTTACAATAGCACTTATATTTGTCTCTTATGGCATTTATAACACAATGGTCTAATTATTTATGTATCTCCACAACCAACTCTCCACCTCCAGCTAGACTTGAGGTCTTCAGGGGCCAAAAAGCATTTGGATCCCACTGAGGCTATTAGTGAATTTTGAATTTCTGAGCCTCATTTGTAAAAGACATTGTCCAATTGTTACAATAGACAGCAGCAGAGTTAATTGGAATTTAGACTGTTTACAGAGACCTAACACAGTACCTGGCACACAGTGTGTAATTCAGTACATGTTAATTTCCTTTTTTAAGCACTTTCTAATTCCTACCATTGTTAGACTTAAGTTGATTTCAGTTTGTTGTTCATATACTTCTTTTGGTGAATATATGGGTGGTTTAAAATTGGTAAGGTGGTAATACATTTAGAATTTCCATTTACAGAAATGGAGTTTTGGAACTAGCTGGAAGGAACATTTAAAATGATCGAATCCATTGATTTTTATTTAAACTATTATGAATCACTTTTGTTACTTCATACAGAATAATCCATCCTACCTTTTTCCAGTCATGTACATTTTGGGTTGAAAATGTTTATATGTTTTGTATGAACAGAGGTTCATACAAAAGGTTGAACTTTTGCTCTTTCAAAAGGTTGAAATCCACTGATAACGGTCCAACCTTCTCTTTAAAATTCTGTAGTAATACATAGTTAAATAAAGCTGACGTTGCAAATTTCAACCACATTTAAATTCTGTATTGCAAAGTACTCTAACATTGGCTTTTACTTTTTAAACGGCTTTTTACTTTTTAAACATTGACAGTATTTGAATTTTAGTTTTAGATTTTGGTCTTAGGCAGCCTAGGTCCATGGAAAAAACCATCAGGATTTGCTGCAGCCCAAGTTTCTTCATCTATATGCCCCCTCAAAGTTGGTGGTGACTGGGCCCCCTAGGCTTTTCTGGATCTGATCTCAGGCACCCCTCCCTCTGTAACTCATTCCACTCCTCCTTGCCATAACCACCTTGGTTGCTGAATACCTCACAACCTCTTATGCCTTTGGCTCAAGTTTCATTCCACCTGTTCCCATCTCTCTACCTTTTGAAACCCTAATCATTCTTTAAGGTCTAACTCAAATCCTCATGAATACTCCTCATGTTCTCTAGTTGTACAGTAAGTCTTTGTTTTCTCAGTGTTCCCATAATTGTGTACATGATTACTTTGAGGGTAGAGACTACATCTTGTTCATCATTGTGGTTCCCACAGCACTTAGAAGAATTCTGTGTGCATGGTGGGTCTTCAGTAGTGCTTGTTAAATTGTATTGTACTGAAATGTGTTGATGGGCTGTCAGTGTGGTTCTTTGATTAGAAAAAGATAGGGGAAAAAAACAAGAATTAGCATAAAAAGCAGGTGCACAGTGTCTGACTTTCCTTTTCTCTACTCTTAGTTCCTGGAAAACTAGTGACCGGGCCTTAATTTATAACTTTTATTTGCCCTGCCATGTTTAAAGTACATTTCTTTTAGCCATGCCTTAAATGGCAGGATGGTAACTATGTCAAAGAATGAGGAAAGGCAGGAAAGTTTAGGTAAGGAGAAGTGAATTCTCTTGAATTTTCTTAAAATGGTCAGGTGGGTAGGAGTATTAGCAAGTAACTGTTTTTAAGGCTGGACTAAAGCTATGAATAGCACAGTTGGCTCGGATGAAAACTCTGATTATAAGCCTATAATAGAACTCCCCAAAGACAACTTTAATTAAAACCAAGTAGTCTGCTCTTTTTTATTGTAACACATTAGTGATCTTATATTTTATATCTATTTCACACTTAAAAAGCTATTACAATAAAATGTTTGAAACAATGACAGTGATATGAAATTCTCAGTATAGTTGGAGGTTGGTTGCATTTGTTAGCAGTAAATAGGAACAGCTGTTCTGTTTGATATACATAGGATTACCATTTTCTTTTTTCTAAGGGTAAATGCCATTGATTTACAATTTGGAAGAGAGATGTCTCTTAGCATTATTTAAAACCGTATGTGATTACTGATATGCCATAAACAAGGATTTGAAATAAATGTACGGATTTACTATATTTTAGAAACTGATGTTAGTATAAACTTAAAAAGTTTTAGCAACTCAACTCTCTGTTATAGGAAATTTACACATCTTATCCAATTCCCTTTTTTTAATAGAAAAAATTCTTGAGACCCTGGAAAGGAATATGACTATTCTCGGTACGCAGGGTTTCTTAGTGGCAAGATGTAATATGATTTTATAATCATGGTTTCTGACACTTTTTAAGAGTGAATTTATTTCTGTAAGTGCTTTGGACTTTCAGTTGCAGAAAGTTAATTCTGTTACCATAATTCAGATTTTTACTCCTCCTTCACTCCTGCCCTCTAAAAATCACCAGAAGTATGTTAAATTCTTTCTTTTGGTCAGGATTAGCAAGGTAGAAAAAAATAAAACAAAACTACTTCTTTTAATGATCATTTGGTTGTTTGGGACAGAAATCTATTTAAGTTATCTCAAGTAAAAAGGTATGTATTAGAAGAACATGGAGAGATCTTAAGGAACCCCAACTGCAAAAGTTGGCACAGGCCTCAGGGAAGGTGATATTTGTCAACAGCTTCTATCTTTCTCTCTCTGGCAGCTACCCTCTCACTTCTCATTCTTTTTGTAAGTCTGATCGGTTCTTCTGTTTCATCCTGCAGACTGGCTTTTTCTGAGTACTTGTCATTGTGCATGTGGGCAGTAATGGCTACCAGTACACCGTCTATGACCCTACATCTCCATTTCCCATCACCGTCTGACCAAGTTCAGTCTATGCATCTTCTGCTTCAAAGATTTGAAAAAATAATCAAGATTAGTCTTGGCCAATCATTGGTTTTAAGCTGATCACACCATCCTTGATTTCAGCTATAGAGGTTATAAGCTGGAGCAGATTCCCTGAGAAGGGGATGGGGGCAGAGCAGGTAGTTGGACTGTTACACCCACTGCACTTCTTCTTGATTTTAGACACTTGACAGTCACCTTAGAACTTTTTTGTCAGTTACCTGTCAGTGACTTCTACAGTTATTTTTAAGCTCCTCTAGTGGCAGTCAGGGATAAATGGTAGCCAGAATTTTTCATTCGAGTCAGATCTATTTTGATGCCACTTTTGTCCTTAGTCATGTACTTCATTTACCTGGAATCCTAAGGTTATCTCATTGGCACTGTGTAAACTACCTTAATTAGGGTATGCTCTGCTCTGTGCAGTTATTCAAGGACTAAGCTACAGTTATTTAGTACTTCTCCAGTTAAATAATAACACTGATTAGAATGGTTAGGTTTATTGAACATCTACAATATGTTAGGCTTGTTTCACACTGTGTTTGCCAGGTTTGCTAAGGTGGTTTACAACTACTTCACATATGTACGTCTTACATTACCTGAGAGCTGCAGGTGGGCTGCAGCTCTGTATTAGCTATAGGTCGACTGTGTGTCTTTTCTGTGTCTTCTCATTACAGAATCCGGATCGAATAAACAGCCCCTACCTGGGACATGCTGTTCATGAGGCGAGAGCAGAAGAGCAAGAGTCTGAGCAGAACCACACAATCAAATTTAAAGCTTCTCCTCAGATATGTGTGGCACATGTCACCTCTTCTTACATCTGTTGGCCAAACCTAGAGTCAGTGGGACAGGGAGATGTATGAAATCTTCTACATGAAAGGGTGATGGTGAATTGCAAACAGTGATAATCTACCATAAACACGCACATTATTTCAATCAACACAACACTCTTCAATGTGGATATTATCACCATCGCACAATTTATTAATTTAGCAAATATTGAGCACCTACTATGTCCTAGATACTGTGCTCTTGAGTCAATAAGGGCTCAGTGAGGACCCTAACTATATCTCATATATAAGGGTACTTTAAATTTGAAGTACCCTCATATATTGATAATGTGAGTTTATTTTGTTTATAATGTTATGACTTAGATATCCTCATACTTTATGGTAAAACGGCAGTTCTCAAACTATTTGGTCTCAAGATTTCTTTATAATCTTAAAAAATATTGAGGATACCAAAGAGCTTCTATTTATGTAAGTTGTCACTTGATGTTTACCATATTAGAACTTAACACTAATTCAAAAGATGTTTATATTTAGAAATAATAATAAACCCATTACATGTTAGCATAAATACAAATAACTATAGCATAAAATATATTTTCAAAGCAAAAAAATTTAGTAAGGAGTAGCATTGTTTTACAATTTTGCAAATCTCTTTAATGTGTCTTACTAAATAGAAGACAGGTAGATTCTCCTATCTGTTTCTGTAATCTATTTGTTATGACAAAATACATCATGCCGTCTCTGAAAAACTCCACTATATAGTGTGGGAGAATGAGAGTGAAGAGGACAAGTAACATCTTAGTATTGTTATGAAAATAGTTTTGACCTCACTGAGTCCCTGAAAGGATCTTGGAGATCCTCAGAGTCACCACACTACCCTTTGAGAACCAAGAATCCCTTAACCACATTTTGAAAACGGCTATTCTAAAGTATATTCTGAAAGCAAATTCATGATGTTTTCATTTAGTGCATTTTCCTGAAGTGTCACCTTTCTGTTAATCTATTTTGTAAATAAGGTAGCTTTATTAGTCTAGTAGACTAACTGCTATAACAGATAATCCCCAAATCCCAGTGGCTGAACATAGTAACATTTCATCTCTTGTTCATATCACAATCCATTGCAGGTCAGTGGTAAGGGCTCTGCCCACAAATAGTCATTTAGGGACCTAGGCTGTTTCCATCTTCCATTTAGGGTCTCAGAGTCCTCTACTGGGTCCTTGGTATCTGGTCAGCAGACAAGGGAAGAGAGTACCTGGAGGATCACATGGGAGGATGTTTGGGGTCACATTCCCCTGGCCAGAACTCATATACCACCCATAACAGTATTGGAAGCTAGGAAATGTGTGCCTGGGAGAAAAGGAAACAACCAGCCTTCTCCAGAATAATCAAATTAGTTTCTACATAAACAAATTAAAATTAAACTTTATGATCTGTTGTCAGCTTTTTTGCTGTTATGACACTTAAACTGTATTCAATGCAAAATAGTAATATCTCATACTTTGAGACAAATTGTAGGATCATGCAATCTAAAATTTTTTTTTTAATTTTTTAAACTTTTTATTTTGAGATAATTTCAAAGTTGCAAAAATGGTACAAAGAACTACCACATACCTTTCAACCATGTTCAGCAGTTATTAACATTTTGTCCCATTTGCTTTTACTCTCTCTGAGTGTGTGTGCATGTGTGTAGGTGCACATTTTTTTCCTCAGTCTATTTGAGAGTAAGTTGCAGACTTCATACCTCTTTACTAAATTCTTTAAATAGTAATATCTCATACTTTGAGACAAATTGTAGGATCATGCAATCTAAAATTTTTTTTTAAATTTTTTAAACTTTTTATTTTGAGATAATTTCAAAGTTGCAAAAATGGTACAAAGAACTACCACATACCTTTCAACCTTGTTCAGCAGTTATTAACATTTTGTCCCATTTGCTTTTACTCTCTCTGAGTGTGTGTGCATGTGTGTATGTGCACATTTTTTTCCTCAGTCTATTTGAGAGTAAGTTGCAGACTTCATACCTCTTTACTAAATTCTTCAGTATGTATTTACTAAGGACAAAGACATTCATTTATATAACCACAGAACAATTTTCAAAACCATTTAACTGATGCAATACTACTATCTTTGGTATAGACACGCTGTCTTTCATAGCAATTATGTTTTTGATCCAGGATTACAACCATACCTTTAGTTTTCATGTGTCTTTAGTCTCCATTAATCTGGAATGGTTCCTCAGCCTTTTTATGTCTTTCACATCAATGACATTTCTGAAAAGCGCAGGTCAGTTATTTTGTAAAATGCCCCTTAATTGTTTGCCTGATGTTTCCTTATGATTAGGTTCATGTTATGCATTTTTGGCAGAAATACTGTGCAAGTGATGTGTCCTTCTCAGTGCAGTTTATCAGGAGGCATATGATGTTTACAGGTGATATTAACTTTGATTACTTGGTTAAAATGGTGTCCACCAAGTTTCCTCATGGTAAAGTTACTAGTTTTTTACTCTAAAATTAATAAGTCATTTGTGGGGATGTAGTTTGAGACTGTAAATATCTTGTTCTTCATTAACTTTTATTCACTAGTTTAGCATGATTCTTTCCTGAACTAATTATTTCCATAATGATTACAAAATAAAGTGAATTTTAAAGTTATTTTCTACTGACACATTTAAGAACCAAGTGTGGTACGTGTTTATTGGTGTTTGTCTAACATACTTTGCCACATTTTTCTCTTTCTAAAATTATCTGAATTTTGTTTGGAGATCTTCTCTTGGCCAGAGCATCCTATGTGCATCTAGTAGAATTGATCACAGTATATCCCCTGGAATAGTCTTTGATTGATAGGTAAATTAGTACCTTCCATTTATTTAGCCATATTTATTCTTTTAGGAATGGGAGTCTGGTCTACGCCTGGCCAATTTGAGTGAATTTTAGGACTCTTATTTGGGATGCTGGACCAGGAAGTACCCTGTTTGCAGCTGGCCACCATCCTGTGACCATGAGGATAAAGCTGACACCAGATGGCAGAGGGGAGAGATAGAAAATAATTGGGTCATTGGTGGCTGTTTTGAGCTGCCGAATCAATCAGTCCTGAAGCCTGCCCTTCCTCTGTGGTTTCCAATTATGTGAGCTAATACATTCCATTAAGTGAGCTAACTCGAGTTGGGTTTTCTGTTAACTTTTGACATAAAGAGTCCTAACTGATACTCCTAGTGTAAAATTAAGGCAAATCATAACAAAAGCCAAAATGTTTCATTATTTTAGTTATACTAATTTTCCATTTACATTGTCAGAGCTAGGGCTCAGACCCTTCAAACCCATTGTACAGACTGGGTCCCCAGACCCCTCACACACAGGTCCATGCTAGGTAATTGGGAAAGATTCCAGGAGCTGTTGGCAGATGACGTGAGCTCAGTCCTCAGCTTCCTCAGTGGCAGCAGCTTACAGGTCTGGCGGTGGCGGTGGCCTTGCGGAGGGTCCCGGGGGCACTAGCAGTAGCAGCCACCAGCAGCAGTAGTAGTCTCCCCATGCTTCCCCCCCGCCACCGGGGGGGGGCATCCCGGGGGTGAGAGGCGCCGTAGATCAGAGCCACTCATCCTTTATACTTAAGTCCATAATCCAGGAACCTGGGTGCACATGCGCAATTACACTAGACAACCAAGGAACACCTGAGTGCACGTGCCTGTTTACATCAAATGCTCGGCAAGATTCTGAACATCTGAGGGGCCCTGACCATTTTCCTATATTTTCCCAACACCTAGTAACAAAGAAATAGTAATAGCTCCTTTACCTGGCATTAAAAACATGGTAAGAAGGATGCATAAAACTTTTTCAACATCCAACAAATATAGAAACACATGTACCAAGTGTCCCTCACCCATTGCTTCAAAAGAGAACCCTAACCTCTGGCTTCTAAGAAGTAAAACCCTTCAGCAGAAGAAAGGTTGTTGTCCACAGCTTTAGTGCCTACATCTCTTTGGCTTAGCCCCAAGGACGGACTGCTATGTGTCTGGCATGTTTTAGACATTTTCCTTCCTATGGGCAGAAGTTTGAACACCTGTGAGGCCTCTTCCAACTCCCTCATTCCAAGACTGTATGTGAAGTTTTATGCAAAGCTTCTCAGGAACACAACTGATTGCTGGAGTGAGGTAAACAAATTACATAGGATTAGATGCGCTGCTTTCAGGGGCAGCATATACTGCCTCTTCTCCACTGCCCTCTTCCTCTACCCTCCTCTTCCCTTCTCTTGCCCTTCCTTCTCCTCTTTCCCTCCATTTTCTGTTTCTTTTCCTTCTTGCACTTCCTCATCCTTCCTCTTCTTTCTCTTTTTCTTTGCTTTCTCTTAACTCTTCATCTTCCTTTATTCTCGTACTTTGCCTTCTACTTTTTTCTTCTTTTTCATTTTCTTCCTTCCTTTTCCTTCTCATTTCTTGTAATTCTCTACCTGTTCCTCTTCCTCCTCTCACTTGTACTCCTAGTAGGGGCAAACTTACCCAAGAAGAGAAAGTGAATGGGAGCCAGAGTGGTAAATCTCATTTCTGTCATCCTGGTTGCTAACTGTAGGCAACTTTAGACACTCAAGGCACCTTTGAGATTCTCCAGATTCTGAGCCTGCCCCCTCCTGCACCTGTTCAACAAGACCTCAACCTTACACTCTTCAGCTCTCAGTCCTCTCAGCCTCACTAGCCCACCTACATGCTAAACCTAGAAATGAGCTCACACAGTTGTGTGCTGGTAAATGTTTAACAGTTGGCTCTGGGTGGGAGTGGGATATTGAGCACACAGTTGTGTGCTGGTAAATGTTTAACAGTTGGCTCTGGGTGGGAGTAGGATATTGAGGAGCTCTGATGTTTAGCATTTGCTAACTTCTGGATGTAAATCCTCCCACCATGGCTGACATCAGGCTATGAACCTGACACCCTTGAAAGAGATGCTGGGAGAAGATGCTAACAATGGAGTCTCACAAACTGGTCAAACTTGTTCTATCACATTACTAAGGATGGCCTCAGACCCATGGTCCAAATGCAGTACTAAGGCTTTCCACCATTAATGCAGATGTTTTGAGGTTAGCCATTAATAAATGAATTACTGTAATTTGAAATATTAGATGTCTGTTTACCCCTTAGCAGACTCATTTTTTAGGACAGCCATTGAAAGAATTCAAAGCAGCAGTATATGATAATCGCCACAACACTACCTTTTAGTTTGATTAAATAAAATCCAACTGCAAGTACCGCTCCCCCCTCAAAATTGCAGGCCCTTCAATGATTTATAAAACATTACCCCCTTTTTACTTATAAGTCTGAGCTCTATCAAAATATCAAATACAAATTGACAACACTTTTTGGATTATAGATATCATAAAGTTTCAGGTAATATTTAGTTTAAAAAGTAGAGTATCATCCAGTCACCTTATCTTTTTTATTTGCATTCTACATCATCTCTGGTGGATTTTTATTATTTTTAAGTAGGTTCACATTATGTTTTATGATACATTTCTTCCTGCAACAATTTTGCATACAGATGGAAATGTTAGGAATCTAGTTTAAGGCTGATCTTTTTTTTTTTTTTCATTCTGTTATGTGATTGATCTGGTCAGTGAACAAGAAATTCTTCGAGGCCATCCATCACTCCAGGCAGCAGCTGAGCTAAACCTTCTAACTCACTGCTTCCAGTCAGTCATGCAAGATTTGGGTTATAAATATTGAATGTGCAAACAACTGTTTAAATTAGCTGTCCTATCTGTTTTATGCAATTTCAGTAGAAAAGCAAGCTGATGTATTGTTTAGTGGCAAGAAGTAGAAGACAGTGAATTCAGTTTGTCCTTCCATACGTCATTGAATTCATCCTGTTGGCAAATATTTAAAATAGTTAGATCAAATTAATTCTTGCTCCCTTAAGTTAAATTAGAAGTAAGGCAACTGAGCATGTAATTTATGTTGCATTTTTGGTTTTTATATTCAAACAGTAAGAAGACTGTTAGTAATTATAAATATAGCCATCTGTCATAAATATAGTAGCCAATTGCTAAATGTTTAGTTCCGTGAATTTTGTTACCTCTGCAATAACAAAAATAGCTTAATATTTGGAAAATATTTGGGCAGGAAGGAAAATAGCAGCTGGCTTATCCTGCCATTCCTGGTAAGCATCTAGAATATTGAATATGTGCAGGTGTTAGTACTTCTGCTACTTGGAGTTGTAACAAGTGTGCATACTTTCACTGGTGTTGATATACATAATAGATAAGATGCCAGCCATTTGTAGTGACTCTGAAAATTGTGTGTAATGAACTTAGGTAAACTTCCAAAATTGCTATCTGTGTCTTAAATTTATTCTTTGAACTTTATTATGCTGGGAACATCCTTTCAAGTTGAGGACTACATTAATAGCCTAAGTAAACTGCTTACCCATAAGAAAATTACTTGTCTTCCTTTATAGGCATGCAGGTTGTTCAGCAGCATGTGTCACTTAGTAGTTGGATTGCAACCTAACAGAAAAGTTGGGCGAGATTTTATGTTACTTTCTTTGGCAAATACTGCTTATTGCTTACCCATATCCATTTTTTCCTTCTTTCTTAAACAGGAGTTTGGTCAGGATAGCAGCATAGACACACCTTCCTAGACTCTTCTTGTGGCTACAGATGGCCACATAAACTAATTCTGGCCAGTGAAATGCAAATAGAGTTCTCTAGGTAGGACTCCTGGGAAAG